TGCTTGGGGTTGCCTTGACCCAGGTGCAGGAATAATGAGTTAAATTGAGAGTTGCAGTCCTTGTCAGCAGCACTTCCAGAAAGTTTGGTACAACAAAGGTGTTCAAACCTGCAAATGACAACTTTCAAAGCTGACTTTATTTCAGCCACAGTCAACAAGAATAAAAAGCATAAAAGAAGATGTACCCTTTCTTGTAGGGAATCCTTATTTCCTTGGGAAGGAGAGTGATCTATTTCTTGGTGAAGTAAACCTTTATCAGCTCTCCATGGAACTGGAGTATTGAGCAATGAATCCTGAACAATGGGCTTAAATGGAATATTTATGGGCAGCAATTTTTGTGATGCTTGTAGATTGTTTGGGTTTTTTTCAACAGATTACAAATAATTATAAACTGATTTTTCAGACATGCTATGAAATTTTAATATGACTGTTCTTTAATGCTGTTGCTGCAAAAATCCTGATGATATTTTTGGAAAGTATTTCTAAGAGAGTTTAAAATAAGTCAGGAATGTGTCTATTTGTTGGAGACGTTCCTCTCTCCTAATGTTCTTTGTTTGCTTCTTACGGGGAATGGGGATGTATATTTATTTTTCAAGTTATCTGATCCTGAAAACTTCAGGAAGCGATAAAAGATACTGTGTGTACCATTTTAAGATGATTGGCACAGTCCCAAACCTGAGGGAAGACAGAATCTGTAGTCCTTGGGACATCTTTGAGGGGCGGAGGTTTAGAAATGCTGTTTCAGTCTGTATAAACGAGGTAACAAATTCCTGGCACTAGAAACAAGTTTTTTTCCTTCCAGATTTGTAAGAGAGCATTTTAAACAGCCCGGATCAGCTTCAAATATAGATACTTTCCTCTAAATTAATTCAGTTAGCTGTACTTTTCAACTGAATCTGTTTCTAACTGATTTGCAATAAATCAGTTAAATGTTGATGAGCGTGTGGGTAATGTTACTGTGGCTTAGGTACTTTTTACTTTTACTGCATTGCAAAAAGTTCTCTCAGTGTGCTCTGAGTTGCAGTTTAATCCGGAGTGATATGAAGTGCTCAGTGTGTGCTGGCTTTTCTGTTAGGCCAGATCCTGTATAATGCTTTCAAGCCACATTGCCTGATTTCTTCTTAGCATATAGACAAAAAAGCCTGAAGCCATTGCTACTTGACTTTTGGAAACTAGCATTTATAAGTTTATAAGTGCAGCGTCTTCTTAATCTGCTTGGGGGGCAGGGGGTCGCAAAGAAGGTAAAAAACTGCTTTTGCAGTACTACACTGGGTTGCAGTTAGTTTGGGACAGCAGTTGTTTTAAGAAGGTGCTGCTTAAATTGGCTTGCTGAAATCACCTGCATGAAACAAAATACTGACTTCTGAAGGCTCTTTTCCTGCAGTCCATTTCCATGATTTCACTTGCAACCCAGCCACACAAATGACTGAATCAGCCCAGATGTACAGGGTAGCACATCCTGGAAGAAGTTGAGGAGAGTGTGTTTAGGAACCTCGTAAGTCAGCCTGTCCTCCCGAATTAACCGGGATGTGGAACTGCATTTCCTGATACCAGCTAGTGTGTAATAGATTAACAGTCATAGTGTAGCTTAGTCCATAACAATTCTGTCAGCTACTTGAGAGCACAGCTTCTTGTTAGATGATGGTTTTTAATTCTGTCTTAAGTTCTCTACATTTCAAATTCTGGGGCTTAATATGAATTTGAGCTGAAAGGGAAAGCCTACAGCTTAGGCATGTCATGTATATGAGACGAGCTATGTACAAATGCTGGGATCTCTTCAAGTTTTTTTCTTGTCTGTTTAGAGCTCCGTGGTTTAAAAACGACTTCTTTTGCAGAGGACCATATTTACAAAAAACTATCACCAAGTTTTTTTACTGCAACAGTGTTTTCATAATGATGTATTTAATTTTGTCTTTAAGTTTAATCAGATTAGAGAAGTTTTACCAAGATGACTGCATTTTTTTTGCTACCCAAATTTTTTTTTAAGACTGAATTTTTCTCCCCTGAGATAGATGAATTAGGCTACTGCATATTTGTCAGACTTTTGATAGAATTTGGTTTAATTCACAGTACTCTACAAGAGTCCTCTGGTGGTAGTCTTCAGTGTTTTTGCAAAAGCTTATAAAACATATATTTTTGCTCCATTGAGATAAAGGGAGTTTCAGAATTATACTTTCCTTGATCATGGATATTAGAGGGGTATGATAGTTTTTTAACACATGCAAAATACATGTCTTAAGGTTTTATTTAAAAATAGAATAACAGTGGTGAAACCATTCTCTGTCCTCCAAAGCCATAGATATAAAGATCTTGGCAAAGGACTGTCTCAGACAACTAAAATGTATATTTTTGTTGTCTGATTCAAAGAGCTGATGTCACTTGAGAAGAGGGAAGCATTTGGGCATTAATCTGTGAACCTGAGGGGATATCTTGATGGCATCTGTAATCTCCAAGTACTCTCAAATGCTTATCCTGTTTTCCTAGTTACTTTATGACCACGAGAATGCAGAGTGCCCTGTCTGCCTGGAACTTCAGGGCTCACTTGGAAATGTAGATTGAGTTGATATCTGTTCAAATCCAAATTACAGTTTCAGCCTTCAGTAATCTTGCCAAATGTGTGCAAAAAAGGAGGAATATTTATGAGTTGTTTACCAACATGTCCTGTTATTCTTTCCTGTTAAATGTTTTTCAACACACAATTCCATCAGTGGAGACTGGAGGATAATGGGTCAGAAAAATATTTCATGTTTGGAAAATGACTACTTTTGTCTATCAATCAGAGATAGTGGCCAGCATTTGGAAGGGTGGTTTCTGTTCTCTTCCCCCAACCCTTTCTGTATGGTTGTCATAAAACAGGCTGTTCCTGTTTGATGTAAATTTTGACCTGGTGTCTCTGTAATCAGCCATCTGTGGCAGCTTCCTTGTCTATAATGGGTTGAGTTGGAGTTCTGTTGTCATTTCTCTGTAGTTTATCTGACATACTACTTTTCCTTTCACAGAGGAGAAGAAAAAACTAGTTCGAGAATTTGATGAGAAACAGCGTGAAGCAAATGAAACGGTAAACATAAGTCTGGGCTTCTGGCCTTTCTGACTGCTTGAGATATTGATGCCTTAAAAAGGAAAGTTCTTCCAAATTTTATGTTCTTTATGGATCCTATTCTGGCAGGCAGATACTGTATTTTTGTAATCTTTAATTAATTGATCTGATAGGTGTGTCTGTTTGTCAAGACTGTTGTATATGTCTATATACATAAAGAGATACAAGCAAATATTCTTACATGCAGCTGGGTTGTTTTTTTGAGTACTCAGTTTGGATATTGCCTTCCCTTTGTTGAACAAAGGAGAGTGATAGAGGTGCAGCTGAAATTGCTAGAGATTGTAGGGGGGGCATGGAGAGAATCTTTTTCCCCCTACTGTCTTTTTCCATGTTAGTGTTAGCCCATCTGATCTTTCTATAATAGTCTGATGGTTAAATATCAGGGACCTTCAATATTTGAAACCTCTGTTATATAGGCTTCCTGGACAGCAGGTGACATGGAACAGCACAAAAAATCCCCATCTGACTTGTCCTTTTAAGCAAGACATTATGGATTAAGCTTTCCTTTCCTATTAGTGTGCTGTTGGTTTTTGAGTCACAGCTGAATGTGATGCTTTATTCCTCTACCTTACTGGGTTTGATTGACGTGTATCTGTGCAGGTGATGTATGAGATGTAGAGCTCATATTGGTGGACAGCTTTAAGCATTGTGAATTTCTGTCACTAAAAGTTGATGTGAAAATTCACACACCAAAAATCTCATAGTGTACAAACCCTAACTCCAGTTGCCAGGCCCGGATGTTCAGAGTGTGAATTTAGCGGCACGCCTACCTACGCAATAAAGCTCTATTGCATAGATATGATGAGAAGCTGATACCCATCTTATAAACGCTTAAACTATATGAAAGTGAGAACTGCAAATTTTGAAGTTACAGAGTGATATTTCAGAACAAATCAAGCATTTAAGCTTGGCAGTTGTCTTTTTTTCTTGAAGCGTCACATATCTGAACATCCACATGGGCTGAATGGTGTTAGGCAGAATGGTGTACTCAGTATTAGGTGAGGGGTATAGGGTTTGGGGTTAAGCCCCCTTAGCCAATCACATGAAAACATGTGAATCCCTTCATCTGCTGGTGAGTTTTAAGTATAGCTGCTGATAAGAATAGATTTGATGCTTTAAAAAATAATCATGTTTTCTTTTGTGAAAGCTGCGGGAAATGGAGGAAGAACTGAAGTATGCTCCTCTGCCTTTCCGCAACCAAATGATGAGCAAAATCCGGGCATACAGAAGAGACCTCTCCATGTTCCAGAGAGAGATGAGAAGCACAGATTTGGGATTGGGCCCTGGAAGTCAAGGCGATATAAAATACGGAATCTTCTCCACAGAAAATGAACAGAGTGTGAGAATTAGATACAAATCCTATTTAACATTGCTGTGATTGTTTAAAAATAATATTCCAGCTGTATTGTTTACAGTGTTTCTACTTTAATCCACTTAGCTTCTGTGCTTGTATAACTCCCTGTGTATCTCTCTGCATGTAACATGAATATCTCAGGGAGAAGAAAGAACACTTGGAACTCAAAGGAGAGCTTTTCTGTTCTAAAACAAAGATACGAGTATAATCAAAATGGAACTCCTTGAACACCATGTGTACACAACATTCAGTACTGAAATGCTTTATTTAATCATTCCTCTACAGCACTGAAAACACAAAAGTGATGCTACTGCCTGAGAAGAAAGGTTAACTGATCTAGTTTTAGTCTCCAAAACTAGCAAAGTGTGTGAATCGTGCACTGTAGAGATTCTTCGGTAGAATTCTCTTTTAAGCATTCTCAGTGTAAATAATTTCAAGAAAATACAAGAAGTCATCCTCCAACGCTTTGTTCACCATGGATGTGCTACTACAGTGCAAGAAATACACCAGTTTCTTTGTTTAGCAGATACACTTAGGTATACCTGAGCTAGTGAGACGGAATCTGCTTATTACCTTCAAAGTGCTGTTGTCTGTACAGGAAGTTCACAAGGGCAGGCTTTTTGTTTGTCTGGAAGGTTTGAGGGAGGCTCTTTCCGTAGTATCTCATTCTGCAGTAGCTTAGCAAATTTTTGCATTTGATTCCTCTTGATTGGTGTCTCCAAAGCTTGAGAGCAGGGTGGCAGATGAGACTTTCTGAAGCTTGAGAAAACACTTTATTTTGAGCTACCTTTTGACCCCAAGGTCAGCAAACATTTCTTATCCTCTAGCCAAGGCTACTGGCATGAAAAGAGGATCTTTGTTACTTAGCAGTCCATCTGTTAGTGCTGTTTGTTCCTAATCCTTTTGACTGTAAACTCTTCATGAGCTTCCTGGCAACCAACTGTGAAGTCACAAATAAGACTGAATTTAGATAGGAATGGAAGGAAAAGTTAGCATCTGGAAAGCAGAGATAGTATTTTCATGTAAATGTTCTTTGACGGAAAAGTAAATTGTTGCAAAGACAGTTTTTTTGTAATTGTTTTAACTCTTTCAGCTGTGTGTCCTTTTTCAAGGTTTAACCACATTTGGCCATAATCTTACAATGTGAACAAGAACTCATTCAAAATTAACTGGGCTACATCAGTTAACGTAAGAAGCATGTACAGCTAATAAAAATGGATGGCCTATGGAGTCACATCCTAAGCTTTTAATATGTTAGAAGCCTAATACCTCTGTCTTTGTGCTTAATAGTGAAGCATATGTTATTTTTCAGACTCATCTGCAGTCACAGAGGGTGCTGCTTCTCCAGGGAACAGACAGCCTGAACCGAGCCAGTCAGAGCATCGAGCGTTCGCACCGAATTGCTGCTGAAACAGATCAGATTGGCACGGATATAATTGAAGAACTTGGGGAGCAGCGGGAGCAACTGGAACGCACCAAGAGCCGAGTAAGCAGAGAAACTGTGGGCATCGTGTTGAAATGACCTGATGTTTGCTTAGTGGAAACTGTGTGCCAGGAGTTACTCTGAGACCTCCCTAGACATAGGGATCCAATTGATCCAAATCCAGGCTGCCACGTTTCTATGTTGCACTCACAAAAGGAAAATAATTAGCACAGAAGTGCCCAAAGCACAACGGGCAAATGTCTGCTGCTGGGTCTGTGCATGATTGGGTATTAGACCTATAAACCTGCTAAAAAAAAAAAATAAATAGCATTACTGAAAAAATTACATATTTTTAAAAATCCTAGAGTTGCACACCACTAGATTACTAGTAAAGCTTTAGATTTGTGAGGCAGTTAGCAAGTTCTTCTAATGAAATGAAATTTAATAGAAGCTTAATTACTAACCTTCCAATATTTGTAGGTTAGCTAAGGAGGGAGAAAGTGGCATCAGACAAGATGCCTGTTCCTCATCCTTGAGTCAAGAAGTTCCGCTTCTACTGTGGAAACTTTAAAAAGTAATTTGCTTTGTTTACACACGTAAGCAGAACTGAGATTTTGATTTTTGAAGTAACAAACTGGTGGGATTTTCTGTGTGTACAAAGGATCCTGCATGTAAAGTTTTCAGGTGAGTGACTTGCAAGGGTACGCCAGGTTTGGCAATTAAGCACACTCAGCCATGACAAAAAGCATACCCCTCTTGGGAGTTCTCTCTGCTCATTGCAACAAAGCCTGTAGCTTTTTCATGCAAGTAGTTTTTGTATTTCAGTCAGAATTTGATTTGCCCTGCTCCCAAATTTTGGTTGGAGAGCAGGCAATGTGATCTTAAGCTTTGTAAGTACAGTTTTTGTCTGTTCTTTTTCTAATGGAAAGTATTAGTCCTTCAAGCACGTCAGTCTATCCACAGATTGTTCATGAAGCTGTGACTTTTGCTGTGAGCCTTTTAGGCACTGTATTGCTGAACTGGATTGACCATGCATTCTGACTAGAAGCAGACTCTTTTTACTTGGTCTTTCATAGTGAAGATTGGAAATCTACTATGCTTTGAATGGACTTGGTAGTTTTCTTCCCAGCTTGGTCTAGTCCATCCCAGTGCAAAGCCTGTCTCAGTGCAAGCCCACAGGGTCAGTTTTGCAGCTGAGGGCAATAGTTAAACTGCAGAGGCATTGTGCAGGCAGGTGTCTGTGGTGGTGACCTGGCTTACCTTTCACTTCCCTTGAAGGTTTGGAAGTGGGATAACAAAATCTTACCTGGAGACCTCTGGTGGCCGTATATTGTGAATCCTGACTCTGTTAGTGAGACAACAGCTTTTTTAGTTGTCTGTAACCTCACTTAATTATGTGCTTCTTAATAGCTGACTGAGAACTACTTGTCAGTTCATTTGTGAGCATTACAAAGCTGAAATAGATTATCTATTAACAGCTTAGAGCTCAAGTCCACTGGGTCACTTAGACCTGTCAGTGCAATGTGGTTCTTTCTTTGCAAGAAGTTGAACAGCATTTCAGACAGTTCCAGATATGCACCGGGGAGCACATGTCAGTATCACTTTCTTCCGGTGTCAACAACTAGAATAATTAAATTTAATTTAATGAAATTTGCTAATTGCAAGTTTCTGATACCTGTAGTCTAACTAAATGGGCAGAAAGTCATCCTAAACTGTGTACCTTTGTATGTATCTAAGGGAAAGTATATATGAAAGTCTTTATTTTCTCCTCAGAAAGGAGACACTGCTTCCAGCTTGTATTGTGTATGGAGAACAATGCTGTCTCTGAATTTTCGAGACTATATGGTTAGCCTTGGTCCCATCATTAACGGCAGCATTTCAACACCAGCTGCTTCCAGGTGCATCTTTACAGAGGTGCTGTATTCTTGTTCAGCAGACAAGTAACTTTTTTCCTTCTTAGTTGGTGAATACAAGCGAGAACTTGAGCAAGAGTCGCAAGATTCTACGGTCTATGTCCAGGAGGTGAGTAGCATGACTGACTCAGAGCAGCACTTGGCGGGTAGCACTGTTGCCTGTGGGTTTCAGGCAAAAAATAAGAAACAGAATGTCACAGCTGGAACTGCAGGGAGGTTTTAGGGAATGTGTAAACAGAATGTGTGCCCATGTGTAGCTGCTAATGTGTTTTCTCCTCTCTGGTAATTACTTAATGAAGTACAGGTAGTTGAAAACTACTGAATTTGTGCTGCTCATTTAGGCTCATACAAGGTCTTTAACCAGCCGACATGATAAATTGTGGTGAAGCCAAGTGAGTTGCAGTGAGTTGCTAATGGTAACTTTAGATGCAATTCCTCGTTACTCAGGTTGGAATGGCTGTGCCATAAATTACTGCAGCATTAAGCGAGTTGTCTGATGACACAGAAGAATCTGTTTAGCTCATAGTAATGCCCAGAGTAGCTAGACTGTCATGTTAGAAACTGAGCCTGACCATATACTGTTTTGATGACTTGAGCTTTGGCTGCTTAAATGTGGTTACAGTTTCTTAACTATATGGTTTAATTATCCTTATAAACCAGTTAATGGAGTATATTTCCAGTAGTTACTCCTGGCCCAACAACCTTTCCTTTACACCCATTGCTAAATGAAGTTATAACTGTACAATTTTCAGTAGTAAAAGTACATTGTTATTTGGAGATTTTACAGTCTTACTTCAAAGACATAGTTCCAAGTAAAAAGCACCGCAGTGTGGGTTTTAGCACAGGAGTTCAACTGCTGTTTTTGCTTAATTGAATGAACAGGCACACAGAGAGCAGACTGATCTGCTGTATGTGGGGCAGGGGAAGAGGAACAGAACTGCTGCTGTTGAAACAGAAGATTTAAGCAGAACTTCCAGGAAAACATGAGTAGGAAACTACCGAGTTTGTCGTTTCCTGCTTGTTAAGAACTATCTGAATTACACTTTGTGGTCTAGCTGAAACAGGGAGTATACTTACTGAAGATGTAAGATGGTCATCAAGTTACACAGAATTGATTTTCATAATCAAGGAAAAAAAGCTATAATGGATTTTTTTTTATTTTTTAACTCTAGAGTAACCACTAATAAGTTGTTGCTGTCAATTATCATCATCCTGGAACTGGCCATCCTAGGAGGTGTGGTCTACTACAAGTTCTTTCGCAGCAGATGAATCTTCATGACTGAGATGAGCTTTTCCACTGCTGAGGAATGGGATGGGCTCTCTGTTCCCTCTGACTGTCTGTGGATTGAACTGTCTTACGAGAAGACAGCATGTTCAACTGAAACTGTATCTCACTAGAAAGACACAGAATGGGAGTAAAAGGAAAAAGCAGAGACAGACTTGAACTACTGGTAAGATTAATAAGAAGGTAATAAATATTTTATTGTCTCAATTTGTATATACTTAACTAAATGAATAAATCTTGGTATGTAATAAAGTAGCCACTGATCAGTGGAAAAGCTAGTTTATTTAAAAATCGAGAAGTTAACAGTATTTGTCAAGTGTTGACAATCTATGCACTGAAGTGGCTCAGCAGAGCTCTATAATGTCCAATGTACCCAACACTTTGGGTTCTTAAATCCTCACTTGCTCTTCGCTGTCAGATTCATCTGGAGAACTGGGTGTTGGGAGTTCATCAAAAGCGGTGTGTGCTCCTTCCCTTGTCTGCCCAAAGCATGTTGCTATCACATCGACTGCGAGACTGGCAGTTGCATTCACTTCCTCTTGAGAAGCTCCAAGCAGTGGATTGACTTCAACCATGTCTACAGCTGAAAGCATTCCTGTGAAAATGATTTACAGCTTTGTTACCATGAAAAAGGGTAAAACCTCTAATAGGTTTCTTTTGCAGCAAGTTTGATATTTGAGCTTTTGATCAACTCTACCCCTTAGACGAGTAAAATTGGCTCTCAAGTGAGGAATGGGGTTATGATTCTTGGCTGCAAGATTGTGTTTTTCATTTGGTTCTTTCTTACATCATCATACCTCATTAATTCATGCTTCTAGCATTCAGGAAAAATACATTTGATGTTCCATATACACTTACAAGAGGAACATTTTTTTACTCTTGTTTTCTTCCAGTCCAAAAATTAGAGGATATAAAGTAGTCTCACCTAGTATTTTTTGCCATCCTATTCATGATTCTATTGACTCTGTTGTCTGGTTGGTTTTTCCTTCTTTCACAGAATCACAGAATGTTAGGGAT